ATTCTGTATACTACTACACTCCAAGATCAGTTTAGCTCCAGCAATCATTGATATCGCATAATGTAGCCCTTGATGTTGTCAAGTTGCTGCCAATTATTAAAAACTATAATGTAGTATGAATTTTTTTTTTAAGACAAATGTATTATGTTTTTTTCCACTGTTAATTTGTTATGTATTAATTTTATTATGTGTTATTGTGTTAGCACTTGATTAGTTGGTTGTTATTTTTATTAAAACTTTGTAGTATAATTTAATCCGTTTGGGCTAATTATTTGAACTTTATTATAAATTTATTAATATTTGACAATTTTTAGGAAAAAATGTTGTCTCATTATAAACCGCAAACCAAACCGCACCAAACCGCATTATTACGGTTTGGTTTGGTTAAGTTTCAATATTAATATGGTTTGGTTTGGTTTGGAAAATTGACCAAACCGTATTTTGCGGTTTGGTTTGGTTTATACTCAAACCGCACCAAACCAGACCATGTTCACCCCTAGTTGCTATTGTTGTAGACGTACAATCGATAATTTTTTAAAAGGCTTTTTATAACTGCAATTGTCACTGTCAAAACATAATTGTTTTATTCTTTGAATATAGTTTTTTTTTTTTTTTTTAATAAAACCTTGCGGTTTGTAGTTATATGAATATTTTTTTTTCCATATAAACAACATAGTCGATACTAGCTTAGATGGTTAAATAGTCATATATGCTATTAGAGGTTGAGGGTTCGAACCTCCTTATCCTTGTGTTTTTATATGGACTAATGTTAGTTGCTTGGGTGATGTGGCATTGTTTGAGTGATGATGTGGCATCATGAGATGGTGGGAAGTTGATGTGGCACAAAAAAATAGAAACTACGTCTTAATTTTTTAGGAACGCCTTTTAATACATTAGTATAGATAATATTAATTAATTAATATTAATTCATACTATTACTTTCAAATTTTAAATATTTCGGTTACTAAACTAATTATAAGTATTACTCTACTTTTAATTTGGTTTTAGTAACGGTATATTTATTTACATCTCAATATAAAGTTTTAATTTAATTTGTAACAACCGTTTTACTCAATGAATATTTTGATATTCATCTTTAATGCAAAGACACGTTTGGCTTTAGTGTACAACAGGTAGTGGAATATAATCTTGTTTGGAGTATTATGCATGCACAATGCATTAACAAACTATAAGAAGTGTATTTTTACCATAAGCTAAAACAGTTGCAGTTAAAAAGGATTTTAAAGGTTTCACTTAATGTCATAATATTTGATTAAGGGTTTACAATATGCTATTGCTTGGAGCTGATCATTGTAACGACTATTTGGATTGGTGGTGTACGTATACAAATGTTTTTGTAGTATTAGTTTTTTACACATACGTTTTCAAAACCAAAAAAAAAAAATTAAACATTCTCCCACATACTTGGATAATAAATAAAAGTCGGGTATTTAGATTATTTAAGCTTCTACTCCTTAATACGCAAATTAGGGAGTGTATAAGTTGGGGTTTTATCCTGGGGATGACGCGTCGTTTACTCCCTATAATTTGTATTGAAGGGTGTGAATCGTCATGAGGAGAGCTGAAAGTTATCTGCGACTCACCCAACTAAATTTCCAGATTAATTTTCACTTTATATTTCATTTATTTTCCCATTTTTTCCTTGTGTTATTTCCCACACTTGTGATGACGAACAACAAAATTCTTCAAAAGCAATGCCATTGAGTATTTCAATCACATAAGTATGGTTGTAAAACAAAAGTAAATAAAAATGATAACGTGTTTTCTGTGTCCCCCCCCCCCCCCCCCCCACCGTATGTCGGCTAGCACACATTAAAACACTGATCGATTGAGTAATCCATGTCCGACCAAGTAACCCATAATCGAATGATCCATGATCAACCGAGTAACCCTTGAATAAGTAGACTTGGCCACATAATGTGGCCGACCATATATAAAATTTTGCGTAAAACTAGAAAACTTGCAAAGAGTTGAACAATTGAGCAAATGCTATAAAGTTTTTTCGATTTTTTCACCAAATGCCCTTGACTGTTTGCAAAATTCACCAAATATCCTCAAGTTTTTCAAAATTCACCAAATACCACCGACGTTTGTTATTATTCACACCGTGACCTCAAAATACCCCTCACGTTAAAGGTCCGGTTAGCAATAATTCACCAAATGCCCTTGACTGTTTGCAAAATTCACCAAATACCCTCAAGTTTTTCAAAATCCACCAAATACCACCAACGTTTGTTATTATTCACACCGTGACCTCAAAATACCCCTCACGTTAAAGGTCCGTTAACAATAAATTTAATTCACCAAATTCCCTAAATTTGTTAAATAATTACACAAAATACCCTCTATTTTTTTAGGTACAACGACTAGTTTGAAATCTGGGAAACTAGCTGTTAATTTTAATTCTCACCCTTTTTTGCATAAATACTCAACACATAGCAGTGCTCTTATTTGCTTAACCACAATTTTAACATCATGAGTTATATGTCCAAATTATCATTTTCCTCAATGTATGAGTACTCTTAGAAGCTCTAAGTCCTTTAGCTCGCGGACTAGCCCAGACTGTTTACTGGGGTGGGTATAAACAATTTATCAAGCCCGCATAAAAGGGGCTTGAGTTTTCTATATTAAGCCCGTTAGAAAAAATATATATGAACTATAAGCCCGGTCCCTTTCTTGCCCAAGTCTGCAGAATTATCATCTCTACTTCATTTAACCCCTTTTTTCTCTGTTTGCCCGGTCTCCAACACTTCTTTTTATGAATAGAGGTTGTTTGCAACTCTAACACACTCATACATTGAGGAAGAGGATTTAGACATATAACTCATTGTAAGGAGGGTGTGCGGCCCATCATAGGGGATCCTTTTCCTTATATGCCCATAGCCCTTTAAAAGGCTAGGACTTTACACTTGTTAGGGTATATTAGCATTTGAATTCCTGATTATTTGGGGGACCTTGAATCAGAGTTGATCCTATCATTATGCTTTTTTGTAAGAAACTAGTAAGCAAGGAGTCGCCAATGAGTTTTAGGAAAACTCATAAACCTCATTCATGCCTTTTTCCCAAGTAGAGTTTAAGGGATATTTAGCACGAATCATAAGTTTACCCATGCCCAAATTGGTCTACTTGTACCAAAAATGAGTTCGGGAGTGAGGGTATTAAATAATGTTCCCTTTAAGGGGGAATCATCATTCTAGCCCTAATGCGGCCTCTACTAGCTCTTCCTTTTTTCACAATTTCATCACCAAACAATATATGCAACGCGATACCTAAAAACTAAGTTAGTTGATTTTACTTACAAGCATTTAATCATGTAGGAATTACATTGCAAAGCCGTTATTATTTTTTTAATTAATATTCGTGAAAAGAACTATAAATAAACAATATTCGCCTTGACTTAGGTGATAAAACAATCAATTAATTATTCAAATTCTAGTCTTGATTAACACAAGAATGCTAAGTGTATTAAATTAATTAAAAGTTTGTTTAGAGTGATCAAATAACACTAATTAATCAATTAAAGTTATTTAAATAATAAAAGAAAAGTGATATATCAAAGTGTTCAAGAAGCTAACTGTTCTTCTTTTAAGCTAAATCTCCATTTAATGTGTTTATGTACTTTCTTTCTTTCTCGTACCTCCAAGGACTTCAATGGATTCAATTAGGGTTGGAAAGTATTTGGGAAAAGAGAAGAAAAGTAGTATGATAATAAGAGAAATTGAGAGATTAGGGATTCAAGAATACTAGGGTTTAGAATTATGATTTTTTGATCCCCTTTAAGTTTAAACGAAGACCCATATTTATAGGCATAGGAATCTAGGTTTAGGGTTTTAGAGCCGCGCAGTCAGGTAGCGCGCGCAACTCTCTGATTTGCGATGGACATCGTGCGCATCTCAATGACTTGCGTGCTTCAGGCGCCCAAGTGCAACTCACCGAGTTACGATCGGTGTGGTTTTCCTTATATGAAAACGCGTTTTTAAAACTTCCTTGACTTTTGATTGCGAAGTCGGATTAAGGCGTGTGAGGTATCATTGTAAAGCTCTGAATGTCTACTTTCATTTATGTTAGAATTAGTTAAAAGATGTTATGGATCAAGAGATATGGTCGTTGGAGTGCAAGGGTGTTGGTTTTAAGGCCCGGTTTAGTGTTTTGATCATAACTTCTTCGTTTTTACTCGGAATTGGGATTATAATATACCGTTGGAAAGCTATTTGAAAGGGATATCCATATGTATAGGCCTTACATAGAAATTTGATCATTGTCTGATTGGCTCGGTTTGCAATAATGTAGGATCTATTGGTTCCAATCATTGCATTTGACTCATTTGGGTCCGTTATTAATCAAGTTTAAACATGTATTAGCACGTTTTGGCCTAATTAGTAATCGGGAAAGGCTCTAAGATAATTTGGTCTCAAATATGGGTTTTCACTTACTTCATAATGCATTTCGTAGTCCATGAATACTTCAACATTGATCTAGCATGAAGAACGATTTTTTGTAACATCATCGCACTTCCTGTCGGGACATGAGGCCAAGAGTAGGTGTCTACACTCATGGTGTTAAAATTTGTGGATAAGCAAATAAGAGGGCTACTATGTGTTGAGTATTTATGTAAAAATTGGTGAAAATCAAAACTAACGAATAGTTTTCTAAATTTCATTCTAGTCATTCATTAGTTGGTGAATTTAATTTTATTAAACAAAATTAGGGCATTTGGTGAATTATTTAACAAAGTTAGAGCATTTGGTGAATTAAATTTTATTGCTAAGGGATCTTTAACGGTAGGGGCATTTTGAAGTTTCGGTATGAATAATAATAAACGTTAGTGGTATTTGATGAATTCTGAAAAATTCGAGGGTATTTGATGAATTTTTCGAAAAGTAAAGGATTCGGTGAAAAAACCAAAGTTTTTTTTTTTTTTTTAAGGAAACGTTTTAAAGTTGGTTCAACCCAAATTGCCCAATTTCCTTTTAAACCCACATAAATTTGAGCCCAAAAAAAATTAAATATATATCCTTTTTTTTGTTTACAAATTTTGTCACTCCTTCCAAAAACCAGAGAGAAAGAAGCGCCATGAACGTGGATTCGCCTCAGAGTCAGAACACTTCACTTCAACGCCTTCAAAATGTTGAGAAGGTAACATTTAATGCCCTAATTGTTTAAATTTATCAAAATTAATTCTTCATCTTGATTTTTCTAAAATTCAAATGCAGAGAGTAGTTAGGGTTTTGGAATTAGCTGGTGGAGTCATGGATGAACTTGCAAATCCGTCTGGCCCTCGCAAGGATTCGCTCAACAACCATTGTGGCGAATTTATGCAACTAATTAAGGTCTCAATTTTGTATTTTTTATTATATTTCGTATTATAACTTAAATACCCAAAAATGGTTTGATTAATAGTTGTTTTTTATACAAATTTTGATCATGAACAAGGGTTTGCACTAAAAAAAATTGATTCAAATTGGGTTCTTTTTTTTTTTTTTTTTTTCGGATTTTGATCATGTACTTGTACTAGTATGGCATTTTGTGGAGGTTATAATTATGGTTTTTAAGTGTTATTGCATTGTGTTATTGAAACTGTTTTTAATGAAGGGGAAGGTAACATATATGCCATTGATTTAATATGAGAACGTGTATCTTATAAAGGGCCGAGTTAAAGAGGGTGCGATATATGCTACTGCTTGTTAAGAGTTTCTCCATTTGTGTTGTAATGGTATAGTATGTTTGTGTCTTTCTGTGGTGCTTATCTCGAGAATTCAAATGTATTCCTTTGCTTTCTTGTGGATGTAGGATATCCAAGTGACATTGCGAGAAGAGATTAAGAGTGCATGTGAGTATCGACCATTTGAGAAGTGTGATTACAGTGCAAGATTATCGAGTGAGGTTTCTTGCAAGAAGCTGGAGTATGTTCTTTCTCAGCTTGATAAGATGGAGGAGACTATTAATCAGTATCAAGGTTCTGCATAATGAGGAACAAGAGGTAAGCTTCTCTATGTTCTTTGTCCATAACGCGAGCTTTCCTGACTATTATTTCAAATGTTGGATGGTGAACTTTTGATTTAGTTAAAGCTATACAACTTGAATTTAAGTGGTGGTGGAAATTTTTTGTAACTGTATTGCATTTCCATGTTTACTATTTTACTTTGTAGCAGTATTCGTGTTAATGGTTGCAATTGACGCATACTGAGTTAGTTTAACACTTTTGTAAGTCCTTATTGGCTTTAAATTAGGTATTGGTTATCAGCCATGTGAAGTGAGAGAAATGGTTTTTAACAAGCTGAGTGAAACCTATAAGGCTGTAGGCGAAAATACAATGTGTAAAGTGATACTTATAGCCATGTTTACTTTCTGGATATTTGGATGATAATACCATTCTACATGTTCACATTGTTAAAACCATAAAATCCACAAATGTGCAAAGTTTACTAAGCTTAAGAGTTACCTAATACACAAGCATTAAATTTAGTATGATATGCAATTTGCTACCGAAGTGCCTTTGTCTTTAAGCCGTATGTGGGGGATTCTAGTACTAGATAACACTGTTGATGCTGGGCATTCAGTCAGCAAGCTTTATATGAAGACAATTGCTGCTTATATAATTTGAGCAAACAGTACAACATTTTCCTAAGGGTGTGTTGGTGGAGTATATTATATTTGGGAAAGTGGATGGAGGATTAAAGAGATTTACAGTTAGGAGCCTGCAGTTTGCACACACTTTAAGCCTTTTTATGTCTAATAAGACTGTATAGAATCATATTCTACTCCTAGTAATGAAGAGGGGAGCAATAGAATAAAGAATATAAGAAGAAAATCTTGGTTATGTACAGGGTCATTCTTACTTTACGATGACTTATAAAAAATCCGACACTCCTGCAAGTGCTGTTAGGGTTCGAAAATGTGTGGAGAATGGTTCAACCCAAAATCAAAGTGAAGTCATAGGTGTTGCTTATGATCTTTGTTGAAATTCGCCTAGATCTAGTTGGAGGTTTGTTTGAGTAGCAGGAGGTTACTCAAACCCTCTGCCTAAAAGTTTGCCCGAATTTCTATGGCCTGTTGGTAACGTGGAAGCAGTTTGTCCATTTGATTGTAAATTATTCCTAGCAGTACATATACCTCTTATTAGCTCTTGTGTTAGTGAAAGTAATATGAAGTGCTTAGTTTAATTGCCAAAAAAAAAGAAAAAGCTAAGTGTTGAGTATAAGAGATAGCCTCAGTTGTAAAGCTCGAAAACGCTGAGTTTAAGCGAGAGGGTGTTGAGGTGGAAGCTATAGATTGCTGAAAGCTCATGATCTCTATTCATCATCAAATCTTCACTCCATAGTAGATTGGTGGGTTTTGAGTTTCCCACGGGAAAATCTCTCCTTGTCCCTTTCATTTTTGGTTGCTTGCTTGATTGTCTTCTTTGTTGTTAATGTGTGGGTAATTTCAAACTAATTTGTACTCTTTAATCTTTATTTTCCCGACACTCTCACCAAATTTTATCTGAGCTCTCTTTGATCTAAATGTTCTTTGTGCTTTTCACTGAATCATGTTTGCTGCTCCATTTGGCCATTTTTTCTTGTCTCATTTTTTCAAAAGTTATAAATTTGGTGCTATCTAGAGAGAATTGTATGAAATGGTAGCATTCATTGCATTTGGAGAGGATGAGAAGAGGCTAAATATTACTTGGTGCTAAAATGTCTGTTCGGACCAAGATTGCATTTGGCAAAGGGCTTAATGAATGAGTTAATTGAAACCGAGCAATACAAGTTAGCTATAAACTTCACAGTGTTGTAATCACTAGCTGAAATTGGGTGATCATAAGCTAGTTTGTACTCTTTATATTCCTAACACTGTTGCCATATTCCTGTGTTCTTCACTGGATCATGTTTGCTGCTTTATTTGGGCTTTAATTCCTACCTGATTTATTCAAATATATGATTTTTGGTGTTATCTTAGAGAGATTTGTATGAAACGGTAGTTTTTATTGGTTTGAAAAGAACTTTGAAGAGGATGAGAAGAGAAACTAGACATTAATTGGTGCTAATATATGTTTGTTGGATTAAGAGTGCATTTGGAAAGGGCTTAATGAATGAGTTAGCTGAAATTGAGCAGAATAAGGGCTTTAGACCTCATAGTATGTTAACCATTAGCTGAAACATGTTTTTTTATTTTTCATTTGCTCAGCAGTCAACACTTACTGTTTTATACCTTATATAATTTTAAGAAAATACGGCCACTTTTGATGCTGTTGTACTGTTTGTATCTACGACCTAGTTCTACAGTTCGCTTTACATATAGACCACATTGTGTTAGCTTATCAGTTCTTAGTCTATAGCTTCAACTTCGAACTTGCTTTCTAGCTCGTTTTGCAAGATAGAGCCAATATACCATCGCTGGATGTTGTATCAATTTTAGCCATAGTATGTTATTTTGGCACAAATTTTAGCCTTAGTATATACTACTTATGATGTAACCTTTTAGCATTTATTTGATATAGAAAAAAGAAACATAAACTTGTGCGATAACAATAAGTAACTTACTACCTCCGTTTCATATATTTTGCAACTTTGGAATATTTTATATCTCACAAATAATACCCCAAAGTTGCTAAAAATATGAAACAGAGGTAGTAATAAATTATTGGAAAATTATGTACTGTCCTTTTTGGATCTGGGATTGCTTGAGTGAATAATCATGAACTTTTATAGTCATATACTTGTATTCATTCTCACCTATATAGTTTTCTGCAACAAATTTTTGTTATGAAAAACACCTTTTGTGGTGACAACTACCACCTCAAAATAAATGTAAATTGTTAATCATGATAAAATTTTTATATATGCATTGGCTGGCTAACTGCTCTATTCTCTTAGTTAGCCATCAGATTCGGAGGAGAGGTGCATGATTAACTGTCATTCCCTTGCATCTTATTAGATAAAATGGACCATGATATTGTGCTGTTTGTGTGGAGTGTATATTGTCTAGACACAGTCTTATGTCTTTAGCCCCCAATCTAATGCATTGTTTTCCTTCGAGATAGCTTGACATTCCTTATTAGTTACTGCTGATCCTTTCTGTCTTTTTTTTTGGGTTGCCATTGTATAATTCCCCCCCCCCCCTTTTGCTGTTTTTTTTTTCTTTTTTTTTTTCTTTTTTTTTTGGGTGCAAGTTAGGCCACGAGTACATAAATTGACTTAGTGTGCGCTACATTGAAAAGATTGCTGACATATCTTGAAGTTTACAAGGTGTTTGGCTGATTGCTGATCTCTTTCTTGCAGTCTGCATGGTTGGCTGCCTGCTTTGTGGATGAAAGAAACCAGTTGGTTCCAGGATGACTGGAGGATTGTATATGAGCTGTGACCAAATCATTTATATTCCAACTTATTACTGTTTGTAATTTAGGCTGTTGTATGTACCCTTAATGTTAGGCATTTAGATGTATAACCATGCTTTGGGATTTTGCATTGTTTTTGCTGTAATTCGTTATTTTTAGCAAAGATGTGTTGCAACTTTGCAATGGACTTACGCTTTATATATATATATATATATATATATATATATATATATATATATATATATATATATATATATATATATATATATATATATATATATATATATATATGTATGTATGTATGTATAAGTCTAACTATATAGATTTATGTATGTCATCAAAATTATTTTACTATTTTTAAATAGGAAAAATTGCTCCCATTAATCTGAACTTTGCCTCGTCTGCTTAAATTAATCCCAACTTTCGTTTATTATCTATCACTCTCAACTTTAGGGGGTATTAATTTTTAGGGAAATTTCCATTGATACACTCCAGGTATTGACTTTTCTCAGCAGTACCACATTTTTTTTTGACTTCCTGTTGATACACTTGAGGTTTTGACTTTATAATTGACGTGATTAAGTCTGTTAATAAGACGTTAATAACTTAGTAATTCTAGGTTAAAAGCTGAGATTAGGTGAAAAGACTAAAATGCCCCCTTTTAATCCTTCCCTCCATCACCCATAATTAAACCCCTTCCCCTTCCATTTATGTCGATTTGACACAAAACAAACTCCTTGTTCAAATTTCATCTCTCTCTCCTTTGCTCTCTGCATCATTCACGACGAAGTCCAAGGGTTTTGCAAGGGAATTGCGCTGATCTTTTTGGTCTACAAAATCATTAGAGGATAATCTAGCACAATTCAGGTACTTTAGCACTACTACTGTTCATTTTTGCATGATTTGGTGCAGTTGTGATGTTCTTTTTTCTTTGCGATTTTAAGTTAAATTCATGATGTAAATGTTGTATATTTGTGCGATTTTAGGGTTTTTTCAGGTATATTAGGTGCGTGATTATGTGTGTTCAATTATTTATGTAGAGTATGTATTTAATTTGGATGAAATGGCATGATCCTGTTTCATTGATTTACTTGAATTGGAATGTATTTGCTTATTTGATTGATTGTTGGATACCTGAATTGGGATTTATGTGCATGTTATAGGTAATTGGATACCTGATTTGGAATTTATTTGAATGTTGTGGATTGTTGGATATGATTTTGAATTTATATGCATGTTGTAAGTGTGTATACTGTTTACCTTCTTTTGCAAAATGGGTGATGTTGTGTTAAGGTTTTATTACTTTGATAAGCATGTTGATCTTGCTGTTGACTTAGATAGATGTAATTTGCTTGATTTGGTTATGGATTTTGAGGACACTGCTGCAGTAGACTCTGAGTTTCCTATAGTCAACCCATCATTTGGTTATGGTTTCAATGAAAAGAATCACCCTTTACTAGATGATGCTGATCTTTTTAAGATGATTCACACCCTAGGTGAGTGTGAGATTTATCACATTTGGGTAGGTTTTGCTAAGAAACCAAGTGCCTTGAATAGAATGACCAATAGGCTAAGGAACAAGTCCAAATCTGCACAACCTTTTGCTGCACCTTCCCAATCTAAACCACCCCATATTGATCAACCTTCTGATACTGCACCCTCAAATGAACAACCCCCTCAAATTGAAACAGATCAACTTGTTCCTGAAACTGAACCTCCCCTTTTTGACCCTTCCCAAACTGAACCTCCCCTTTCTATTGAGGATATCAATCTTAATAATGAGTCCTCTCCACCTAGGTATACTGAGGGTTATGAGTCACCCCATGATGAAACAAATCAATCTGCTACTGAGTATACCAAGGGTAGAAAAGAGTTTGAGAAAAAGTATGGAAAAGATAGAGAATTCTAGGAAGGTTAAGGGTGCAGCAAAGGGTAAGAAGAAAGCTACAACTAAAACATCCCCAATGCAACCACCATCTCCCAAGTCTCCAAACACAGTCTTCAAGGGTTTACCACTTAGAAGGAGTCCTAGATTTTCACCTTTGGCAGTAACTGACACACCTAATGCTTCTGATGCTGACCCATTGACAAATGATTTACAAACAACTATGTTTAGGAAAAAGGTTCCTAGATCAATAGCTATAAGAAAGGGGTTAGTGAAAGGATCAACTGTGACTGAGAAAAGGATGTTAGGTGTTGGTGACAGAGTGAGTCAACTGCAAGGATCAGTTTCTAGGGTTAATGTAAATATGAGTGAGGGCAGTAGTGCTGGGGACAATGTGGGTGAGGTGCAAGGCACAAGTGATTCTAGAGTTAGAAGAAAGATGACTTTTGTTGTAGACAGCTCTGAGTCTGTAGAGACACAACCCAATCCTGGTTTCAATCTTGGTGAAGAAGATGAGGATTCTGATGGAGATGTTGCACCAAAGGGTTCTATTCCAGCAGATGAGCTAGCACACGTAACTAGGATTCCAAAAGTGAAGGACAGTTGGAAACCATCAAAATGGTTTGATTTTTTTGATGATGAAGATGATGAGGATTATTTTCAGAGATTGTACAAGAATGGTGAGATGTATGAGGATGCTGACTTTGGTAAAATAACACTCAGACCTTGGATGATTTTTACTGACAAGGCTCACTTCAAGGACACTCTGAAAGATTTTTTACTGTTCAAGAAAGGTTTGCCATCAATGTAGAGTATGCTGACAACAAGAGATACAGTGCAGTTTGCCAATCTGAATGCTGTGATTGGAGATTGCATGCCAGCAGACTGGCAGATGGCAGAACATGGGCAATCAAGAAAATATGGCCCAATATACACACTTGCAGGGGCTTAGAGACTTACAACCCATATGCAATGTGAAATGGGCATCTCAGAAAGTCATGGAAGACATCAGGGCTAACCCAGACATTCCTGGAAAAGCACTCAATGAACTCCTTTTTCAGAGATATGGCATCTACATGAGGCAGTCAACCTTGTACAGGTTAAAGAGCTATGTGATTGAGCAGTTGTTTGGAGGGCATGATGAGTCATATAGACTACTGCCAATGTATGCTAAGATGTGCATAGAAACAAACCTAGAGTCCAAGGCTTTTTGTGCATGGAATGAAACAGAGTCTATCCCTAAACAACTTCAATTTTCAAGCCTTTTTATATCATTCATTGGACAATGGAAAGGTCTTTTAAGGGGTGTTAGACCTTTAATTGGTGTAGATGGAACCCACCTCAAAGGTAACTATGGGGGGGGGGGGGGTATTGCTCTCTGCTGTGGGAATAGATGGCAATAATGAGATCTTCCCCATAGCATATGCTGTAGTTGGCCAAGAAGACAAGCAGTCATGGACCTACTTCTTTTGGCATTTGCTGAACATTGTAAAAGATTCATCAAGAGAGCATTAGACTATTATTTATGATAGGCAAAAGGCAAGTGTTTGTTGCTTTTTTCAAATTTTCATTCTCTTTTTTTTTATATGCAAACATACAAATGCTCATGCTGTAATCATTGTTTCAAGGAGTTGAACTTGCACTAGAACAAGTATGGCCAAAAGCTGACAGGAGGTTCTGCTGTAGGCATCTAAGTAGAAACTACAAGAAGCTATTTCCAGGCCCTATGATGTATGTTCTATTCTGGAGAGCATGCAATGCTTCTTCAGCTTTCACATTCAAGAAAGCTATGGAGAAGTTGCAGAAAGTAGGAGGAGATGATGTCATGACTTGGTTTGCAGAATTGGGAGAGAAGTCTAAGTGGAGTAAGCATGCATTTGACCCAAATGTTTGCAATGACTCCAATACATCCAATTTTGTAGAGAGCTTCAACTCTACTCTAGGGGTGAATAGGTGTAGGCCTATTTTGACTTTGCTAGAAGGTATTAACCCACCTCTTACTGTATTAACATTGTCATTTTATTCTGATTTGGTTTGTTTTTCTAAGTAAGATAATGTTGTGCAGGAATAAGGAGGGTATGTATGGTTAGAATAGCAACAAGAATGGAGAACGCAAAGTCTTGGAATGATGAAGACATAACTCCAAAAATTGTGAAGCTAGTGAAAGAAATAGGAAAAGCTAGCTCGAAATGCAGAGTATTCAAGTCCAGCCCAGGTGAATATGAAATTCATGAGGGAAGATCACAATTTCCTCTCAGCTTAAACAAGAAAGTTTGTTCTTGTGGGGCATGGCAACTGACAGGTGTGCCTTGTAGGCATGCCATTAGGGCTTGCATTGATGCCAAGTTGGACCCACATGACTTTGTCAGTTCCTGGTACTCCGTGAAGACTTATAAGCAAGCTTACAATGTCTGTATCAACCCAATTCCTGACACAGAGCAATGGCCTGCAGATGAGTCAGGTAGAATCATCATGCCTCCTAAGATGAAGAGGGGAATTGGAAGACCAAGCAGGAACAGAAAGAGGGAAGAAGGTGAGGAGCAACCTGGAAAAAGGTCAAAAACAGTGAAATGCAGCAAATGTGGTTGCTTTGGGCATAATAAGACAACCTGCAAGGGAGGCTTAACAGGAAAAGAGTTGAAGACAAATGAGCCTGTTGTCATCAAGAACCCTAGGGTCAGAGACCAAAGTAATGCAGCAAAGGCAGCTAAGGCAGCAAAGCAATCTAAAGCACTTGGATCTCAGTCTGCAGCAACTCAACCTTCAGCATCTCAAGCAGCAGCTTCAACCAAAAAAACTAAGGGAAAGAAGGGCAGACCCTCAGCTGAGCAACAAACAGTGTTGACAGCCTCACAGTTGCCTAGCCAACCAATCCAGATGTCTCAAGGAAACTCTCAAAGCTAGCAAGTGTTCTGTTTTGCAAAGTAGTAGCAAATGCTTTTTTTGGTGATTTGGATAGAAAGTCAAAATTTGTAGTCAACTCTATATGTTTTGAATTTTTTTGCTGAACTTACATGGTAATGCTGAAGAATTATGCCATTTTGTCTATATTAAGAATGGTGGCCACATTTTGAATGATTTTCCAGACTTTAATGAATGTTGGCAACTGATGCCATTTTGTTCAGCTTGTTAATTTTAGTTGATCTCAATGATTGATTCATTCAAAACCAAGAAAATACAACCTTACTCAATCAAAATGCAAATTATTTTTCCATTTTCATTCAAAACCAAGAAAATACAACCTTACTTTTATAATTTGTTCCTAGTACACTTAGTCTCTGAAGTACATGGCAA